TCTTTTAAAGGGCCTTAATATTAGGATCCCTATTATAATCCCATATAATCCCTATTAGTGGGACAGGGTTTATTAATCATGGGTCTGGGTTAGGACCAGGAGGTGAGAAGATTTTCCACAGAGTAGCTCTGCCTGTGCTTGCCCCACGCGCAGCCGACAGCCTCAGCATGGGGGGCCCTCGAATCATGGGTCCATCCTTGGGGTCCGAAGACTATTGGCTTCATTGTTGCAAGGGACGTGATACAGTAGGACCCTCATGTTCAGAAATACTTGTCAAGATCTTTTTCTCAGAGTGTCTGACTTCCGTCATGGAGATGGATACGGATCAAAGGCCAGGGATTTGAATGCCATGGAGCTTCGCAAGGGCTGCAACCGATAAAGCGAATTGCCCTACAGCATCGGCGATTTCCTGCACCTTCCGTATACCATGTGGCGGCTTACTTTACCCTAAACCCTAAGGGTCCAGGATTTTAGATCTGCAGGAGCCTCCCTTGACACGCTCCCAAATCGGAGCCGCGTCGCCACTGAAGACTGGCAAGGTACGACACTTGAGCCCCGAAGCCCCTAAACTCCAAACACGTGGAATGTTTTGGGCTTAGGGTTCTTGGGGTTTAGGGTTTGGGGTATACAGGGATTATATTCCCTTGTTCCCTACTGACCCCCAGCAAAAAAACCCTAAAGTCCCTTTGCTGCTGGATGTTGCAGATAACCCCTTCAAGCCCCGAACCCATTCCTTCCCAAATCCCCATTCCCTTTCGAACTCAGACCCTGTCCGCCTCACATACTGCACTTGGAGGGTCAGGGGGACTATAACCCGTATAACCCATATAGTAACCCTAGTTATCCCCTTCATTATCCATCTGACTAAGTCCCTATGACCCTCCAAGCAGGCTCCTACATGAATTCGAAGAGGGCTCTGGGACATAGGATGAAGGAACTTAAGGAGTCGGGGGGGGATTACACTGCTAAGTGTCCAGGCTTGTGCTAAAAATATTGAAACGGGAACCCCAAACAGGGAACCCCAAGAACATAGTAGGAATATAATAGAATGTAAGGACCCTGGTAGATCCCTATTACATTCCTACTATATTCTTGGAATTCCCTGTTTGGGATTCCCAGCAAAGTCCCTTTATGCGCATACCGCGTGGCCAAATTCACCACAGAACCAGGGTTGGCCCCAGCGCGCTCCAGCGCAGATGCACAAATCTGCCACCAAAGAGCAAGCAACAATAAGCGGCAAACTGGCTTAAAGATTGACACTACAACTGAAGGAGGGAAGAGCGAGAGAGAGAGAGAGAGAGAGAGAGAGCAGCGCTACTAGTAGGCTTGTACCAAAGGCATTTGAGACCTGTCGGAAATGAGTTGCCATCGCTACCAGACCTGGACAGCTGATGCTGTACCTACACTGAAGTGTTCTGAAAGCCGGGCCGTGTCACAGAATCAGCTGCGGAACTCAAGCCCACGAGAGCTAAACTCCCAACTTTTCATGATGGTCATGTGAGCGCCCTCTCAATTCCTTACGACAATGAAACCTCATGAACAACTACTAGTTGTTCCATGACCTGCACGTAACTACCCTCAAAGGAGTCGTGACATGTACATCAGCTTCACTGTCAGACCTGTAAGGGCAATGGAGCACATAGATGTACATAGAACTTATTGAAGGACCACAGGGCTTGAAGACAAAATTTAAGGGGCTCCTAAACCGCAAGCTCTGAACCCCTTCTGTGCGGGTCAAAACCTATACCCTAGACCCACTTTCCATTTGATTTTGCATTTTGGGGATTCCAGATGACTGTCCATTATTGGGGCAAATGCCCTAAACCCCGCAGAATCCCGAAGTAATCCCATATAAACCTACCGAATATGTATGTAGTACCCTGCCCCCAAGCCCCAAACGGCAAACCTCAGGGGCCTTCTCCCATTGCATAGGAATAACCATGGTTGCTGTTGGGGAACTTCAGTTACTATAATAAGGTTATATAGGGGAAAATATGTAAGGGCATACACGGACATATAGGGTCTAGACTTTAGGACTATTTACTACATACCTTTGGTGGACCCCCCACCCAGTAATAGTGACTATAAGGGATAATAGGGATTATATTCGGATCCTCTTATATTCTTATTATACGACTATTACAGGGTGGGGGGTCCTCCTAATACATACCCATAACATGTTCCCACCTTGTCCAGCAGTTCTGCTGCGCCTGGGCAGCGCATGACCTCCCCAGACACGCGAATCTACATCTGCCATGAAGGTGTCAAGATGTTGGGACGATAGGGTAGGAGTCTCTGGAGCTTTACCCCAAACCCTTACCCCCTCATAGCTAATGATTGGTGCAGACAGGCAACATACCACCTCCCCACCAGCAATTCCGACCATGTAGGACAGGCTGCAGAGAATATAGATCAAAGCAGTTTAAAACAAACCCAAAAGCCAACAGTATCTTGGGTAGCTAGGTCTATTTCGCAAAGCAGGCAGTGCCTGGCACTTGCACCATGCATGATCATCGGCCATTTTTCGGAAATGGTTGCAGAAACCAGGTCCAAATAGACACTATAATATAGTAGTTTCCAGTAAATTTTCCATTATCCCGATATAACCCCAGTATATCACCTATATTACCCCTATGTATTCTATCTACTTAGAGGGGACTGCACTTGGGTGTATGTCTTTACGTCTTTACTCTTGGAATGCCTTGAGACATAGGCTGAATGGCCTTGGCTCAATGTGTGCGTTGTGATTGTGCGGCGGGCTCAACTAACAGACTGTCCGGTCAGGTCCAAACTCCAGCTTCCAACTGTAACTAAGCCTTCTCAAAGCAAGATGCGTCATGGCGGAGGAAGCACTTAAAAACTACGACCACAACATAAAGATGCGATATTCCAGATATAGTCTTCTCCCAACCTCACTCCCCTGACATCTAATATAATACAGGGCGGGCGGACAGTTCAAACTTTTCTGGGGAGGCGTCAAATCCCCTAGCAGGACTGCGCCCGGCAAGGAAGCGCGGCCTCCGATCTCAGCCGCGCATCTAAGCCTTCCAAGGTCCAAGGGTCCAATTACCTACTTGGAGTTTGGGCCCTAAACCCTAAACCCTAGCCAGTCGGCCCTAGAACCCAAACCCTGAACCCTGAACCCTAAACCCATGGAAGCCATATTCTATCTAGTTGAGGGGGACTATAAACAGTTCGTGTCCAGAGCACTCGTACCAAGCCTAAACGCATCTGGGCCCAAATGAAATACTATTCAAACTCGCGGACCCTCAGGGAAACAGCAGCTAAGGTTTAGAGCTTCGGGTGTAGGAGCCTCATCGGTAGTTTGAATTGGGGTTATAGTTCTAGATACTGCAAGTAGGTTCACACAAGTGTTGAGCACAACACCTACCTACTGCGCTTAGGCTCAGGGACTATTGCGGCAGCTCTGGTGATGGACAGCCAGCTCTTTGCTTTTGAAGATTGGTCCAGGCATCCATTTTCCAAAGTCGAAACATATGGTAGTTTCCCTAAATAGGGGGACCCCAATATAACCCCAAAATACTATAGTCCTTATTGTGGGGACCCCCAAAAAGTAGGGAAACCCCCTATTTTTGCACCCAAGAATATGATTTGACACAGCATGTCCACTATAAGGTAAATCCGCCGAAAATGCTGCAAAAAACGCAGGATGTGGACCTCAAGAACCTAAAAAACCATGCGAACGCTCAGCACAAAAGCCTTCCTCCATTCTGTAGTGTTCCATTGTCTTGCATTATCCCAGCATAACCCCAAGATTACCCCTATATTATGTCCCCTATTATAATATAGTAGTTTCCATCTTCCTTTCCATTATCCCTATACAACCCAATATAGTACGTAACCTTAAACTCTAAACCCAATGCAATGTGGTAGTTTCCATTTTCTCTTCCATTATCCCTATATAACCCCTATATATACTACTCCTAAACCCTAAACTCATTATGATGTAGTAACTTCAATTTTCTTTCCCACTATCCCTATATAACCCCTATATACCCCTACATCCCTAACCCCACCCCGAAACCCTAAACCCTAAACCCTACACCCTAAACCGCTGTCTTGCTGGCCTGTGAGGTGCCTTTTAGGACCGCGATCCGGATTGGCGATACCTCGCACATTCAAGGGCTTAGGGTTGTTTAGGGTTTGGGGGGTTAGGTGTTTTTCAAGTCAGAGGACTTTGAGGGTTTTGGGGTTTAAGGTTTAGGGTTCAAGGGTTTAGGGAAGGTCTGGCAACCAAGAAAAGCAAGCAAACCATATGTTTTCCTATAAGGCTATGGGGCTGCAGCGGATGGTGACAAACAGGAATCACTGCTCCTGGACCTGCACGACTGCACCTCAAACTGCAAAAATGTTGGGATCCCAAGCCCCACTACCCTCAATAAATTCCACACAGCCCAACACGGTAGTTCCCCAAAATAGGGGGACCCCAATATAGACTCCAATGTACCATAATCCTTATTGTGGGGACCCCCCCCCCACGCCCCCCCAATGAAAGGGAGGCCTCGAGCATCGAAGTGCTCGTCAGCTTCTGGTTGTCCAGAGCCCCTCCACATGGGTGCGTCAGGGTTTAGGGTTTAGGGTTATATACAGGGATCTGGCATGCATGTTCTAGGGATGGTGCGGGGATCGCCGGTTACATGGCATCTCCTAAACATGTTTCAAAAAGGAACTACTTCACAAAAACCATGACTTGCGGGAGAGATCCTGCACAGCTCTGTGCACGGCACACATGGCAATGGCTCAGGATGTGCTGGGAATTTATGGAGCAAAGAGAGGGCAAGCCCTGCCCCTTCAAAAGATTGTGGGTCTCAGCTCTTTGCGTGACTATGCTCAACTTCCATCTTCTTCATAGACCAGCAGGTTTCTTGTCCCTGCTGTGTGCCAACAAACATCAAGCAAGCCATCCAGCTGCAAACCCTGGGCTGCCCTTTTTCTCGCAGGCGCCCGGCTCTCTGGTGCGCCTAAGGGGATGGCTGCTCTCAGGCCTTGAGCACGCCGTGGCCGCGAAGGGCGCGGGGTCCACGCTGCAGCAGCGCGGTGCCGGCAGTGGCATCCAAAGCCTCGGCTACAAAATCCAAATCGAGGTGAACCATATTCGAAAGACACAGGCCTCTACATGGCAGAGGCGCCGTTTTGCACATCAAGATCAAGCTTTAACAGGCTAGCGAAAGACATGAGGCAAACATCTCGGAATTCATGAAGGCGCCTTAACCCTAAACCCCGAAACCCTTAACCCTAAACCTTGAACCCCGAAACCGCTAAACCTGAAACCCTAGGCCCAAGAGCAGTCAGGGCTTCCTTGAGGCCATCGATCTCCTGCTGGCGCTTGGCCTGCTTCTCCTGGGCTGAACTCAACTTATGCTGTTAAGGAGATTAATTTAAGTTACTACGGTTTAGAGTTTAGGGTAATTCATCAGGAAATGGAAGCTACTATAATATTTAGGGTTTAGAGTTGAGGGTCAGGGGGACTTAGCAAGTAGGTTTATAAGGGGGATAGCTAGGGTTACTATATAGGTTCATTATGGGGGTATTGACCTATTTACTAAGCGCCGCTGACCCTCCAAGTATGTTACCGTAGTGTGTATATGCAATAATTCAAATGGCTCCCCTGATATAGTGGCTTAATTTAAACTCCTTAACCCTGAAGCTTATATATCCCTATATACCCCTTTTATACTTACTCCTATATACCCATATTGCAATAACTTAGATTAAGTTCCTGAACAGCAACCCAGTTTCGGCGAAAGACTCGGGGGTCACCAGGCATTCGGCCTCCAGGCCTTTCGTGAACTCGAGGATGGCGCTCATCTCAGTCTGCCTGGGTTGCTGTTGAAGAATTTAAAGTAAGTTACTATAATGTGGGTTTAGGGTTTAGGGTTTAGGGTCTAAGGTTACTATAATGAAGAAACCCTGGAATATGGTATATACCTATAAGATGGTAACATATGGCAATTTCATTCAAGATCCATAACAGCAACCCAGCTGCATGCTCTCCTGGTCGGCGTTCAACTCATTGATTTCCGTGTCCAGGCGCTGGGCCTCGGTCGTCTTGTACTCGACGTCCTTCTCCTTCTGGCTCTTCCTGAGTTGCTGTTGAGGAACTTGAACTAACTTACCATCTTATAAGCATAGTAAATACTGGGGCTTCTTTACTATAGCAACTTGACTTAAATCCCTTAACAGCAACCCAGCTTCTCGAGCTTCATGTCCTGAGTGTCTCGCTCGTAGTTGGTCTGGGCAGTTTTCTCGGCAGCACGCATCTGGGAGAGGCTCATGGCCATGTCAGCCTCCACATCCTCGAGGCGGCCAATGACACCGCCAGCCGCACCCTTGCGCTCGCCGCTGGTCACCGTGACGCCGGAGTTCTTGTAGAAGTCACGCAGGCTCTTCAAGGCCGACTTCACGCCCTCCATGCCGGTCACCGTCTCGGGTTCCTTCTTGGAAAAGATGGCCTTCTCCTCCTGGCGCAGTGCGGTCATGTTCGCCTGGGTCTCTGCCAGTGTTGTAAGCTCGGCCTTGATGGCCACCACCTGCTTCTTCAACGTGGCAGACTTGGATGCGGCAGCATCGATCTTAGTGCTCACATCGTCGAGATCTGCCTCCTTGGCGGTCTTCTTGTCTGCCGCCTCACCCATCTCCTTGTCGCAGTAAGCCTTCTTGGTAGCCTCGGCCTGCAGGTTCTCCTGCATAGTGGTGATCATGTCCGAGAGCATGGTCTTGATCTTGGCGAAGACGTCAGCTCCTGCTTCAGTTCGAAGCATGCCATCCATGCGGCGGGAGAGGAGGACAAGCTGATGGTCTCCTAGCTTCTGACCAAGAGTGCGCACCATGCGCACCACCTCGAAATGCTTGAGGTCCTGGCTGCTCTTAATCGCCTAGGTTGCTGTCAAGGGACTTAACTTAACTTACTATATTGGGCAAACCCCATTCTTTACTACATATATACCCATTCTGGTAAGTTAAAGTAAGTTCCTCAACAGCAACCCAGTAGCAGACTTAGCAGTCATCTGGAGTAAGGAGAGGCCGGAGGATTCCACCAGGGCTGCCTTGGCAGCCGTGAGCGCCTCAAGCTCAAGGCCTCGGCTCTTGGTTTCCTCCTGGTAGTCAGCGACTTCCTGCTTGCAGTCCATGGTCACATCACTCAATGATTTCTGATCCTGGGCCAGGGAGGTCTTTGTCTGCTGCAGATCCTTCTCCGACTCTGCCTTGATACGCGCCTGCTCTGCCTGGCTCTTTTTGGTCTTCTCCATGGCCGCCTTGGCGAACTTGATCTCATCGGCCAGGGACTGGGAGACCATCTCGAAGCTGTGCTTGGCCTCAGTCTCCTTCTTGCGCAGCTCCATGAGCTGATCCTTGGACTTGTCCAGCATGTCCTCCAGCATCTCAGTCACACCACCTGTCTTTGACTCATAAGTGGCGGGCTCTGGAGCCTGAGCATCCTGGAGGAAGGCAGTCAGGGTTTTGGCATCCTGGTGACCAATCACAGAGGCGTCCATCATAGCCTGCACAGCCTGGAGGAGGCTTCCAGCATTCTTGACCTGAACAAGGGCCTCTCCCTTGGCCTCCTTCTTCTCCAACATGGACATGGCACGCTCCACTGTTGCCGCCGTGTCGAGGAGATCCTTCTCAGCAGCCTTGAAGTCGCTGGCCTCCTTGCCGCGAACCTCCGTGGCCGCTGCGAGGTCAGCCTCGCTGGAAGCGATGCTCTCAGTTGTCTCCTGGAGCGTGGTAGCCAAAGTCTCAGCCTTCCCGGCTGCCTTGCTGATGCGCGCGCTCAGCTCCTCGATGTCCTCATTGGCGGTCTTGATCTGGTACTGCAGCTCCGCGGCGCGAAGCTCACAGTTGTTGTTGAACTTCGTGATGCGTGCATCCTCGGCTTTGCCTTCCTGCTTGATGGTGGTCTGCATGTCGGACAGCAGGGAGACCACCTTGGCAACCGGGTTCACCGCCTGTCCGGAGACAAGGGCCAGGTTCACGAGGAGCACAATTCGGCTCATGATTCCGGTCATGGCGCGAAACTTCGTTTTTGGCGAGAGATGCTTGAGCCGCGGAGCTGAAGCTCGACAGCAACGGCAACAGCAGAAATTCGCGATTAAATGCCCCGCTACATTACACAGGAGGATCGGGTCCCACACCGCGCCCTCCCGCCAAAAATGCCGACATGCTTCGAACACGTGGGAGCTTCCAAACCCAATGCCATCAAATGCAGAACCTGAACCTGCTATCAGCAAAGCACTGGCCTGCTGTAGCCGAAGGAGATGAGGTTGACACGGACTTTGTCAGGGTCTGCGCTCTCCTCCCCCTGCTCCCGCTCCTCCTCCTCCTCCTCCGCCTCCTCCTCCTCCTCGCTCTTCTGCGGGGCAGCCTCCTCCGGCGTGGCCTCCTGCAAATCATGGTATGGTATGGTATGGTATAGTATAGTATAGTATAGTATATAGTATAGTATAGTATAATCCATTTGTAGCCTATTATGGTGCAAAGCGTTTTTCCGAACGTATAGGTAGCCGCTGCTCTCAGGCTTCCAGGCACTTGCCGGGGTGTCTTTGCTGCGGCTCTTGTTGATGCGGGGATATGAAAGGAATGCTTAAACAAGTTGCAGAAGCAGCCACAAATATGACAGGCCCCAATGACTGGCACAATACAAAGTAAAATTCCGTGCCAGGATTTTGGCAGACTTGGCACAATAGGAACCAAACAACAAAACAAACTGGGGAAATCAGGTCTAGTACTATCTATGGCAGTTATGTAAAAAGGGCAAAGGATACACCTGCTTCGAAGTTTGGTTTTCCATGTTTTTTCTACCTAGGGTCCAGGTGACAGATGTTTGGAGGCAGACGGCACCGGCTCGGCCTGGGCACGCTCATTCAATTTTCTTGCAAATCCTGCACCGTGTCCCACGTCACAACATATGAGTATGCCAGAAGTGCCCGTTCAGAATCCGCAATAGGGACTCCCATAACCTTCAAAACATCCTTGGGGTCCCAGAAAACCTCCCATTTCAAGAGTTTCACACTTAAATCCTTCGTTGTGACCACACAGGGCGCGAGCTCTTCAAACATGTCAGGGTCCCTTGACCCTAGGCCATAGGTAGAAAAGCACTCAAGTCTTAAATTACTTTGCTACTCTTATGTCTTGAACTCGTGACGAATGATTCGTGATATACTCACCTCGCCTGAAACCCGCAAACCTCACCATGCCTCTTCTGCTTCGGAGATCTCCTCCACTGCCGGGGGCTGTGCTGCGGCTTCGGGGGCCGGAGATTCAGGTCGAGGAGCTTCTTCTGCTTGATCACTTGCAGGCTTTAGCTCCTCTAGAAGGGTGCAGGCACGTTCACCATTTGCAGCAGCAAATCCATCTGCCCAGTACGCTTACATTGGGCGCCAAGCTGAACCACAACTACCAAACGAAGGAATGGAAGTCTTGATTTACAGTGCCAGGTGCTGATTAGCCAAAACTACCTTGAGAACAGTCTAGGTAGTGGACTTCTGCATGCCCTCCAACACATGCACGCGAGTGTTTATGCCGAATATCGGGTTTCAACGCCCGCGCGCTGCCTTCGCCTGGGCTCCAGCCCTGACTGCTGGTGCACGATCAGAAGGGCGCAGTACCCGAGCAAACTGCTCCTTCCTGACACGCAGGACTGATGACAAGGAACCACTGCCACGAGCAGCGTGACCTCCCATGTGCCTACCTAGATGCCTCAGCAAGTGGGACTTAAGCAGATTGCTAGCATCTCTTTGGTTGACACTGATTCCATAAACCCAAACATGCTACATTCTAAGGAATTTACCGTACATCCACCGCTTTGCAGGTCAGAGTCATCTTCTGATCTGGAATGGGGAAGAGGACGTAGTCAAACCTGCGCAGCAAAGCTTTCACCTACACAGATCAAAGGCTCCTTGCTTCCGAAGCTATTGCTGCTGTAGTCGAAAAAAATGTAACAAAAAATCTTGTGGATTCTATATGGGCTAGTACAGGGATTCCAATCATCCATCACCTACGAATCTATGAACAGCCAGTAACAAATTCAGAGTCTGGCATCAGGCATCAATGAAACGGCGGCGGGCTTTTTGTTTCCAAGGTTTGGCTCCACCTTTTTTTCTCTCCAAGGTTTGGCTCGACCCCCCCCTCTCTTTTCCTTGTAACTGTCATCATTTTTGGACTTTGAGATACGAAAAGTGTCAATTGTCACAGGGATCGCGGGGGTCCTGTCGCCATCATCGTAACTGTCGATGTTTTTCGACTCTCGGATGATGTTCTAAACTCAACATCCTCGTAACTGTCGACGTTTTTGGACTCTCACACCTTGTTGGAGATTCNNCACAAGGATCTCGGGTGTCAGGGTCACCATCCTCACAACTGTCGACGCTTTTGAACTCCAAGGGCCCCCGCCAGGCCGGTACAGGAGCAGACCCCCCTAAAGGCCAGTAGAATTAAGCGGAGCCTTATATTGGCTTCCAAGGGCCCCATCTGCGCCCATAAGCCCCGTGCGCCTTCCACAAATCCCCCTGACCGTACCCGCCTTGCGGAGCCTTATATGGGCCTCCAAGCGCCCGGTACCCCCTAAAGGCCAGTAGAATTAAGCCCCTTGCAGAGCCTTATATGGGGCTCCAAGGGCCCCCGCCAGGCCGGTAAAGGGGCAGACCCCCTTAAAGGCCAGTAGAATTAAGCTCCTTGCGGAGCCTTATATGGGCCTCCAGGGGCGTGAAGCAAACAGCGTTCACAAGCAGCCTGTGGCCAGACTAAAAATTCAGCAGATGCCCCATTGTCTATATAGCCTTCTGCCCGTATCGCGGAGGCCTGTTCAAGACCATCGGTTTTTCGTGGAATCAGAAAATCATAGGCATCATACGCAATCATGGGACTGCCAGGCAGTGAAGCAATCGTTTACCCACGCGTCGTGCCTATTCTTGCACACCACGATCTCCGACACGGATGGTCATCGTAGTGGATCCGGCACCTATCAGCCGGACAAGAGACGTATCCGGTCATGACAAGGAGCATTGCCGACGCAGTCCTGATGTACGAAGTGCTCGGGCAACTAAGAGGACGAAAGATCAACACCGACGCGGCAGCTACGGCATATGCATGGGAGAACGGCCTGTCCCCCGAACGGACTGCGGCCGTCAAGGCAGTGGCACATGGAATCCCAGTCAGGACTGTGGCGAAATTTGTGGATTGCTCTTTGATGCGCCTTTTGGCTGACTCCTTACTGCCATGCAGGGGAAGCACAACAGAAAGCAGATAGCACAGATGACCAAATGGGTCAAACACACCTGCGACATTTTCCCACAATTCTTGATGCGGCGGAAGCCACATCCAAACACCTGCACTCCCTCGCTTTGTGGCTACAAGGCAAATGCGCTTGCTGAGAATTTTCACCTTCAGAATCATCACGATGCAGCCCAGTTTAAAACCACCAGGATCTTGTTGCAGAAGATCGACATTTCTCCGCTTCAGTCCACTTTCAAGCATTTCAATGCAGACAGCACTGTATACATCTGCCTCAGCCTGGACAGGAAATATGCAGCTTTCAACTACATCGGCTGCACAGCCCACAACAGCAGTTTCGAGAAGCCTGCCGCAACCGCAAACACAAACAAGTACAAGACAACAAGCTTGTACACGCGGAGCTCGCAATCCGATGGTGGCACAAACACAACAACGACCACCTCTACATTCCAATCACCTGGCGGCATTCCATACCAACCAACCAATTAAGGGCTACGTTCCTTCAGAACATACAACCTAAGCTCAACCACCCATGCACGCACCTCTGTTATGGAAATCATTACGTTACATACACAGGCAAGGCGACAGCAAAGCAACCGGCTTCAGAAGCATTTGTGCCAAGATACGCAGACGGCGACTCCCACCCAGCATGAAGGACATCTACAGATGCTCCATCTTCACGTCGCAGACCAAAACTTGGTCGCTTGTCGACCTGACCACCAACACCAAGCGTCGATTCAACGGAATGCGACAATTGCTGAACGGCAGCACCAGCACCACAGCGCTGTATGGATTGCGCCGAGTGGCCAACAACATGCCAAACATACACCGGCAGTCCGCCGAAGCATTAAACATGGTGCTACGCAAAAGGCCCTTGCCACGCCGACACCCAACAAGTCCATTTTCTCAAGCCGCTGCACAACAGTTTCGCAGGGGACCTGAGGATTTTCCTCAAATAGAGGCTCACGCTGCACCGGGACCACATGACACCGTTCTTTGTGCCATCCACACGCCCAGTCTTTACCAGACACCGAACCATGACAGATGTACTACACAATTGGCGTGAGATACATCGTCAGCGGGATCCAGAGCAATCACCCCCACGCAGCTGTGGAGAATTTGTCACAAAATTCCCTGGTCACGTGTTCAACGGACACGTTGCCATCGCATTGAGCCAAGTGGCCAAGCGGCGCCACACCTTCCATGTTTGGAATTTTCCGGCAAGTCAAATGTGTCACTGGACACAAAGGCTCTGGCTTCTGAGCTACAACAAGCACTCAAACGCTGGCACAAGCAAAATGGACTGCCAATACCAAGAGACGACGACATGGACATGATGAAGTTCATCAATGAGCAGGTACAACAACAACAGTTGTGCCAAAACAACGCTCAACTTTCACATGCTGAAAGCACTTCAACAACAGATTCCATCGGGAGTCATCCACTGCGAAGACGGCGAAGACCACCACCCAGATCGCCTTATATGGTTTTGTCCAAGTCTGTACTACCAGCGCATTACCAACACCTGCACCAACCCCGAGGTGTTCCAGATGTCATCGACACCACCACTCATTCTACATGAGGCAACACACCAGAGACTGTGCAAACTCTTGCCGGATCACAAGTGGGCACTACCGAATTGGGGACGTGTGCCAAACGCGTACATCCTACCCAAGCGCAAAAAGAGCTTTGCGACGGGAAGGCCAATTGTGTCCTTCGCGGGGGCACAGGGCCGAGCATTGCGGGAGTCCTTCGCGGAC